GGCTCGCGTGCGTGCGTGCGTGCGTGCGTGCGTGCGTGCGTGCGCGCAGGCCTCGCGCCCCAGGCCTCTCTCTAGACCAGGCCGACCCGGCGCTGAAGCGCTTTCTCCCCTCTCACCTGTTCGTAGGACTCTAGGCAGCGCAGGGCTTTCACACGCACTGATTCTTCGCGGTGGGTCTGGAAGCATGCTGTAAATTTGGTTTAGAAAGCAGATCAGAAGGCTCATGGAAAAGCCTGGCTGCAGACTCCTCGGTAGCCTCACAGCCAGCCCCGGCTGGTTCCTCTGAGAACCCTAGCTACTGGGAGTAACCCTGCATTTAAACAGTGGGATCTGCCTCCTCTACGTGGGGTCTCTAATTCCAGATTCGAAGACTTTGGGCATTCTCTATGATGGCCATTAATGAATTCTATCAGTTTAGAAATCAAATCCTCCTTTCTGGAATCTTGACCCTCCTGGCTTCTGAGGTTCAAAGGAGACCTTGATTCAGATGGCACTCTGGACATTTTATCACCTTCTAGGACAGTCTTCCCCTTGCCATTACTCAGAAGTCTGGAGCCCCTGCTGAGCTGAATCTCACATACACATTAAACACACACACACACACACACACACACACACACCCACCTACCTCCTTTGCAAGCTCCTGATACTACTCAGAACTATCAGGAAAAGATGGCCTCATGCCCTAGGTACCTGAGAAAGTGAAAGGACTTTTTCTATACCCACAAGAAGGTTCCCCCATCTATTCCCAGAGCAGCACTGAGGTCCCTGGATTACAGCTCTTCCATGCAAGAAAAATGCTGTATCACAACCTCATTTTGTGTGTTTTTTCATATAAAAATTTATGCTAGCATCCTGCCTGCTCCTATAAAAAAGATCACCACTGAAGAAGTTTGACAGATTTATAAAAATACAAAAATCTTTCAACTCCTCCAGCAGGTGGCTTAGCACTGGATAGGTTTCTCAGGCCAGTCCAGATCTGCAGACGTTTTCCCATGGAATCAGAAATACACAAAGACAAGATCCGCGTATAGGGTAGATAAACAGGAAAGTGGTTTATTAGGACACGGGCAAATCTGGGTCCTCATAACTGACATCTTCCTCGCTGCATGTGGCTGGGTCTTCAGGTTTGCCACTTAGCATTTCTTTGTACTGACGTTGGAAAAAACCAAGCTGTAAAAGGAAATAATTTTTTTTTTTAACTGGGCAAGAAGACAAGGAAGAAAGTCAAAAGTAGGATGAAGTTGAGTGAGAAAGGGAGAAGTAAGCTAATTTGTTTGCCAAACAGTTATGTGAACAACAGCAGTCACACACCGAGATATGTTGGGCATCACGTGCACTGTTTGCATACATCTTCCATGACAGAAAAGCATGGATTCTGCAGCCAGGCAGGTTCGCACACATACCTGGCCGCGTTTCCTTTGCACTTCAGCCAATCTGTGGTGTGAGCTTTACTGTCATTTCAAAAATGAGAAACATGGTCGGAGAGGTCAAGCAACCTGTCTAACATTGAATGGTGAGTAAGTGATAGAAGCGAAATGTGTGCCTAGGCCTGCCTGACACCACGGTCAGAGTTCTCGCTACTCTGTCCTGTCTGTGGGAGGGCTGGGGTGGGTGTTGGTGGTGTTAGGAGCAAACTAAAGCACTCACCTTGTAACAGTGAGGCTGTGATGACAGCCAGCAGCAGCAGACCTCCCACACAGCTGCCCACCACGAGGGGGACGGGGTCATAGACCTCAAATTCTTCAAGCACAGTTTCCACCTAATTTAGAGGTCAGAAAGTATCAGGTCTCCCAGGTCCCCCAAGACTTTAGTCCTTTTCCTCCTTTCCCCAGGCCCTGCTCCAAGTAGTGACAGGAAGAAGCACACAGGTGCTTGGGGACAACTGTCCCGCACAGGAACATTCACCCCTCCTCCCTCTGGGCTTGCTGATGCCCAGCCAACACACGGATGCAGCATCCAGAGTCCTCTGAACAGCTTGGCTGCTGCCTACCACACAGTCGCTACCTGGGCTCTCAGAAATGCCTCCTGGCCTGGAAGCTGGGAGTACATGGATCTGCTGAACTTGATTTCAGCCACACTGACGACCAACACCTTCTTCTGCAGTGTCTGCCAAAGAGGAGGGGCACTGGCTCGGGGTGGGGGTGGAGGCTCAGGGTTCGGGAAATGTCCTGGCCTGAGGAAGGTGTAGACCCATCAAACACAACATGGAGCTGGGTAGGGGCCCTGCTGTTGGGCCACACACCTGGCTGACCCAGCCGAAGCTGAGGTTGCCCTTCAGGATGAAGTCCAGTTCTTCCTGGATGCCCAAGGAGGGGATGTCACAGCGAAATCTTAGGCAGTCAGCAATGGAGCAGTCCTAAGGACAGAAACAGAATGAAGTTGATTTGAGAAGAGTCTTCACTTAAGAAGGAACTGTAAGGGAAAATAAAGGTTGTCAGATTTGCGAAGGGCTGGTGGGAATAGATGAATGAGTACAGAAGACTTTGTATCCTAGAAGTACATTTTCCTGTATCCCCCAATATGGGATGTCCTGCATTTCAAGTTCAGGATCCTTCTCACCAGCACAGAACTCCTTGGAATCTGGGTCAGGAAGTCAGAATGCTGGGGCGGTTCCCTTTCTGGCACACAGGAGAGACCCTAGTGGAGAGAGAGAGAGAGAGAGAGAGAGAGAGGGAGAGAAGCCACATAAAGATCAACAATGCGTGTGATACTGTGGAATCCAATCCTGGAGAGAGAAGATAGGCAGGCACCTGTGAAGCGACCCTCAGAGTCACATCCCACACAGCCAGGCCATTCAGCAGGATGGGAACCCAGAAGTCAACGCTGATGGCTACATCTCGCTGACTCAGGTTATTCACCTGCAGAACGTTGAGGCCAAACATTATTGTAGTCCCAAACCCGCTTCTTTCCCAGCCATAGCTTCCAGGTCTTCTCCATCTTTCACCACCAATTTCCAATTTTCTCCACACCACAGAAAGGCAGACATGAACACCCCCTAGCTTCTCACACGATATCTGTGTTCAGCCTCTGTCTTGCTCTTCTCATCAGAAGTTGAAAAATTGAAGTACTTAGTGGATTCTTCCTGTCTGGAGAGAGAGGGCCTGTTGGTGCAAACAACTTCAAGACTATCCCTGGCTGTACCCTAGGCTGCTGCAGAGAGCTTCATTGGGTCCAGCGGATGACCTAGGAAATAACTTTGGTTCCCACACACCTCTGCCGTCTCTGCATTAGCCTTGGCTCCTCTCCCCATAGCATCCTGTGCCCTAGTCACCTGGGACTATCAGCTCTCCACTTAGTACCCCTGCCTCTTTCATACACCCATGACTACTCAAGCTGTTTCTTCTGCTTGCCTTGTTCTTACCCACTCTCCTTCCGGAAGTCTTTATTTAAAGGTCCAGCTTAACACCACCTCTCATAATGCTTACACATTACAGGAGAAGGTATTCACATTGCTTTCTCTAGTAGATATATGGCTGAACTGAGGTGATACTTTCAGAGGTTGCTGCCAGAACAAATAAGCGTAGGAGAACCCTAGGGAGTTACACCCGTTTTCTCAGGAGTAAGAACTCCTCTGTAAAGACAATGAAGAAAACAGTTGTGGTCATCTCAGGGCAGGTAAATGAATGGGAAGGAAGATGGCACATGAACTCGAGCCCACAGAGGGGACATAACATTTCAGGCTGCAAGATGTTTTACACTCACCCAGCCATCCACCCAGCCATCCATCTACCAGGCCTTGGAGATTCAAGTTTAGTCACAATCCTTGCTTCTTAAAACTTCATGTCTGAGGTCTCAGTAGAATCGATCACACACTTTTCACCAGTACCCAGCACAGAGAAACCAGACTAGCCACACAGGTTCTGGGGGCCACAAGAGACACCCTGTCTGTCAAAGTGTCTTTGTAGGGCACATTGATTGTGACTTACTTGGCAAAGGACAGGAGCAAGTTATTTAAGTTCTTGATTTTTTTGTTGGTAAAAACGAAGATAACAATATAGTTATTGAGGAAATTAAATGAATGTAAATACATGTGAAATACCTAATGCAAATGCCCACAATAACAAAAATGCATGACATATAAGTATATACAACTGTAAGTTCTTATTATAAGTATTTTCCTGTGGATAGAAGGAGAAACACACACATGTTGTCCATGGGCCATACCACTACCCTAA